ATGAAATATATAAGATACCTAAATATATATATAGAGGGAGAGAATAGATTAACTATCTAGCTAGATATACTATACATATCTAGATAACACAAGCCCACCCACTGCCCTGTTCTTCAAGCACACCCTCTTTACCCATATACCCATGAACCTCTTTACCAATGAACCCCAAAACAAACTTTGCAGAAGTCCATACTATAATCTGTATTTGCACCAGTCCCATGTGAAAATGACATCTGTCTGAATTTGTAGACCACATCTCATGATGTAGCAGCACCATTCAAATGTTTCATAACACAAAATATAAGAGCATATAGAGTTATACTCAGACATGCCAAATAAGGCACATGGTTTTCAACATGAGTTCATGTGTATATTATATTTTATTGTGTCATCTTGAAACCATACAACCGTGTAGTGTAGTCGAACAGGAAAGTGCATGGCGAAATCAAATCCCAAACAATCCATGAACCAATAAGTGACACGTCTCGATTGCACTTCATTTTCTTCACCACTAGATGTCCTACTGGAGCACTGTGTCAATGAGGCCTCTAGTAATGAACCATTTTTGTGAATACTGTGTCAAAACTTCAACAAAGCCTCGATCAGTCATCACTATCTGTAGCCATGTCAGCTGTCTCTTCTAGGTGAGTTAGGTATAAATGGGCAGAGCCTAAGACAGGTAATTAGGAATCTAGCTGATAGCAAGGCAAGGTCCAGTGAGTGGCTCTGGAGCAAAAGGAAGGTGTGTCATTGGGGTTAAAATAAGTTAAGTGATTTATGAATGGCAACATGTGAGGATTATGCCTATTAAGCTGAAGTAAACTAGCATAAGAGGACAGGCTCAGTAAAAGTGTTTGATGCATGCAGCAGGCTTGATAGAGGAAAGAAGAGAGGAAAGAAACTCAGAGCATCATGGGGTAAGTTATTTGAAATGTTTGGTAACTAGAACAGCAGTTAAAATGTTTGCTAGTGCTAATGACTGGTAACAGTTATCCTGAGTAGATGAAAGGCTGTGTTGTGGGTGTGGGTGCAGGCAAAGAGGGGGGTGGATCTGGGACGCTTGAACATACTATTGAGCCTTCTCGATGGTCCCAGCTCAATGAAACACCAGTTAGTGAGAGGGTGTCCACCTCATGACCCTGAAGATTTGCCTTAACTCCTACACCCACACAAAACATCTACTGGTGTTGGTGATAGTATAATTACAGACTCACTGGAATTGTTAATAGTCTTCTTTTTTTAGACAGTTTTGGTAGAACAGTATCAGTGGCTGGACACCTGAGTGGACCCAGCTCTCAGAGGTGACTCTCATTACAAGCCAGTTGGGCCAGCCACTGTTTAACCTGAGCAAATATAATACAGATGCTGTCTGTCAAGCCACATATCTGCTCTTTGCTTGGGTGATGACAGGGTTCAGGGATGCTTTGTGTTAAGGGTAGGTTAAGGCTGCAAAATGGTGTTGCTTATTGTGGGGCTCTGAAGATTTAAGGTGGCATGGCCATACACCCCCTCTTTGGGGCCAAATAGTGGATAAAGATCATTCAATTATATATACTGAGCTCCCATATGAATGCTCTCCCATTCTTTGGAACATTTAATTGTATATTATTGACTGTGTACTTGCAAGATCCGTCATCTGTTCAAATATATACAGTCTTATGCAAAAGTTTAGGCACCCCTTGATAAATAACAGATTTTGGTGATTTTTTATTTGAACAGATGTTAACACAGTTTCTCTTGGAAATGGAAAAAATGCACAATATTTTCAGCAAACAGTGATGCATAGTTACTTCTTATGCCATAAATTGAACAAAAATAAAAAATAAAAACATTATTATGGCATGGTGCAAAAGTTTGGGCACCCTAAGAGTTCCAGAGTCTCAAAGTCTCTCACAAGGTATCAGACCTTAATCAGCTCGTTAGATCTGATGCACAGCAACAGCTGTCATTGGTAAATGCCAATTTCAAAGCTGTACAAATACTTTGACTCTTCAAACCTTGTGCACACACTTGTGGACACCCAGCAACCATGGGTTCCTCTAAGCAGCTGTGTAAGACCCTGAAAATGAAAGTTATTGATGCCCACAATGCAGGAGAAGGCTACAAGAAGATAGCAAAGCGTTGTCAGCTTGCAGTTTCCACAGTAAGAAATGTAATTAAGAGATGGCAGATCAGGGGAACTGTGGAGGTCAAGATGAGATCTGGAAGACCAAGAAAACTCTCGGACAGAACTGCTCGTATGCTGGTCAGAAAGACAAATCAAAACCCCCATTTGACTGCAAAAAACCTGCAGGAAGATTTAGCAGACTCAGGAGTGGTGGTGCACCGTTCCACTGTGCAGCGATGCTTGCACAGACAAGGCCTTCATGGAAGAGTCAGCAGAAGAAAACCTTATCTGCGTCCCCATCATAAAATCCAACGTCTGAAGTATGCAACAGGACATCTACAGAAGCCCGATGCGTTTTGGAAACAAGTGCTGTGGACTGATGAAGTTAAAATAGAACTCTTTGGACACAATCAGCAAAGGCATGTTTGGAGAAAAAAAGGAGCAGCATTTCATGAAAAGAACACCTTGCCAACTATTAAGCATGGGGGTGGATCTATCATGCTCTGGGGTTGTGTTGCAGCCAGTGGCACAGGAAACATTGCACGGGTGGAGGGAAGAATGGATTCCACTAAATACCAGCAAATTCTGGAAGCAAACATCACACCATCTGTAAAAAAGCTGAAGCTGAAAAGAGGATGGCTTCTACAACAGGACAATGATCCTAAACATACCTCGAAATCCACTATGGAATACCTCAAGAGACGCAGGCTGAAGGTTTTGGAATGGCCATCACAGTCCCCTGATTTAAACATCATTGAAAATTTGTGGGTAGATCTTAAAAGAGCTGTGCATGCAAGACGACCAAAGAATATTACAGAACTAGAAGCCTTTTGCAAGGAAGAATGGGAGAAGATCCCAAGTACAAGAATTGAAAGACTTTTAGCTGGCTATGAAAAGCGTTTGCAAGCTGTGATATCTGCCAGAGGAGGTGTTACTAAGTACTGATTGTGTAGGGTGCCCAAACTTTTGCACCATGCCATAATAATGTTTTTATTTTTTATTTTTGTTCAATTTATGGCATAAGAAGTAACTATGCATCACTGTTTGCAGAAAATATTGTGCATTTTTTCCATTTCCAAGAGAAACTGTGTTAACATCTGCTCAAATAAAAAATCACCAAAATCTGTTATTTATCAAGGGGTGCCTAAACTTTTGCATAAGACTGTATATCTGAATATTTGTTGATTATTACCACAGAATATCAGTGAATGTAGCCTGTGAGGACAGATTTTTCCAAATGGTTACCAAATATGACCTCAATTACAAACTTAATCTGTGTTCTAAGCAGTCAATTGTTACAGGATTCGCTTCACAAAGGAATAAGGATTGGGAGAGCATTAATCATCAAAGTAAGATAGAGGAAAACATAAATTTAAAAATCATTTTGACTTTATTTCAGAAGGTTATTAACTCCATATAAAATATAAAAACAAGAAATAATGGGACCAAATGTATGCCCCGCAGTTCTTAGCGGAACATATGGTCATCATGTAAGAAGTCTGTTAAGATTTTTTTTCTGGAGCGATTCTGGCTTTCCTCCTTACCTAGTCATCTTGTGTTTCCTACTGTAGCTAAATGACAAGGAGGAGGCCCTGGCCCACCAGAGGAAGGTCAGCATCATGTTAGCCCACACTGCCAAGGAGCTGCAAAGACAGTTGCATCTAGATTCACATTGCCATGCTTCAGGTCCATCAAACTCCAGCATCCCATCAAATGATCCACAAGACCCATCAGAGATTCCAAGCCAGTCTCAGCAAACATCTGATACAGCCGAGTCCAAGATAGAACCACAATCCTCATCAGAGTCCAACATTCAAGCACAGCAACAACTAGAGTTGCCAGATTTCCAGCATCCACCAGAACAACCACCACATCGGCCAGAGTCCAGGATGGATGTGCAGGGGCTATCAGACCCATCACACATCAAGTGCCTGACCACAAAGTCTGAAATTCAAGAATCAGGCCAATCAGAGTCATGATCTACCTTCAGGATCTACCAGACAAAAGAATGAAGGAAGACATTGATGTAGCCTGTATGATGTCACAGAGGCCCTATCTGTAGGACTTGGCCTGTCAGCAGCTAATGGAGCCAAAAGACTCAAATGTGGTTCTTAGAGAAGAAGGACAGTAGAACTGAAGTGGTACAATAAAGGGGCAAACAGTGATAAGCTGAGACACCCAGCCCCACCAACATATTTACTATACCTCACAAACACAATTTTTACTACTACTATACATTCAGATCTGGAGAAGCAGATGAGTCACCAAGCATAGCAAGCTATAAGTGTCCACTATAAATGTCCCGAACCCTGTCCTGAATGTCTTTAAAGACAGGGTAAGGTGGAAATAAATTTCTTCTGAGTTTGTTACACCACAGGAAGATGTGTTATTAACCACCCAGACAAATTTGAATGATTAAAAAGATCACCAAATATATAAAATTAGCTTTCAAAATAATGAAAAATAAGGAATAGTCTCTGCTCTGAAACGCTGCAGGCATCAGGTGAAGACACTGAAACCAATAGCAGAAATGTGCTGCCTGTTTTCGTCATGGATATATAAAGGAAGAACATGTAGGACAGATGCATTTGTGGAGCGAAAGGCATGGCTAGCTAGCTAGCTACCAAACTGTAGGCTGTAGTTGGTGCTAAGGCTCTTCAAGAGCATTTTATCAAAGACCACTGAGTGAAAGCAGTGGTAGGAAAATATGATTTTGATGTTTGAATGAGAATGGGCAGTGCTCAGCTCATCCACACACAGAGCAGACAGCTGTTGTGCAGCAGTGGAGACAGGCAGCCCAGGAGAAGTGAAACTGAAGTTTAAATACCTATTCTCATTCATGTTTGTGTAAAAAGCCAGTGGGAGTAATTTTAAGAACACCTGCTAAATAAGTATAAACTTGCAGAGAAATAAAAATTTAAGCTTTGTCCACAGTCTGCGAGCTTGCTAGGCTAACAGTTAACTCTCATTCTCTGTCCAGTGCAGCAGCTTGTGTGGCCATTATCCCCCCTCACGTCTGTCTCCCTCCACCAACTACAGTAGGGTCGGTTCAGAGCTGCTCCAACACATTGATCATTCATGTGTTCCTCCTTTTGTCATTGTTTAATACTGAGGCAGGCAGCAGCATTAATATTATTTCTTTTAAAAAAACATGACTGGCTATAAATGTTCATCTGTCCTTGGTCTCACAAGTAGCCCTAAAAACAAATGCAGGCACTGAGCTCTGTGGCTCTAGGATTTATAACGTTACAGTATTGGGCAGAGCCATTATGTTTAGCATGGCTCCAGTGCGTCATCGAGCCATGCTTTCTGTTCCACCCAGAAAATCCTGAACTCAAACATGATGAAACGGTCTAACTCCACAATTCAGCACTACATAGTTCTCAGTCTTTAAACATTTTTAGCAATTATGTTCTAACACTGACAGTGTGTTAAGAAACAAATCACTGATTTTACTTTACCCAGACTTTAAACTGGTAGAAAATGAAATGGAGTTCTGTATCAGTTCTGGAAGGGAAGAGCTAATTTTAGTGGAATAGTTTGAGAGAAAATGGTTGACAAGTTTCGATGTTTGTTTGAAAATCAGAAGTGACAGACTAGTGACAGTTTGTTCAGTCATGAGTGACTAGTGTAGGAGTAGGAAGGTTTCCTGTCCATGTCTGAGTATGGGAAAGAAATGTCAGTCAATCAGCCTACTTGCTCCATGCAAATACTTTACCAGAACACAGTGAGACAGGTAAATGAATGGGTTTATAAAATGTTTTACTTGGCATAAGCATAAATGTTTTGCTTTTGCTGATTTTTTGTAATTCACCCCTGCCTTTACAGACTGACATACCCTCTCCTTTGCAAAACACAAAAGTGAATGATGGTCAGATTATAAATGACACTTTGCAAGCCATATTTGTTGATGAATATCTTTAATTTAGCTGGGTTGACAATTAAATACAATAGTCCATTACTTAAAACTTACTTGAAACATTCTGAAAATTAAAATACTGAAACTTGATTTGTACAATTCATTTATGTAAATTATGTAAATTAACATACTGTTGGAAAGTGCAAAATGTGGAGAGGTTGGTCTACAAATATGAGGCTTTTATTCTTATTTTTAGTAAGTGTTTTAGCTAGCGTATTAATATTTAAACCTAAAGGTGTCTGAGTCATTTAAAGCCAAACCTGAATCTACATATTAAACATGTTGAGTTAAAAGTCTGAGGTGTGCCTGGATCATTGGGAATTTTTGGCTATTCAGTTTTGACTAAAACTATAATAATTTCTGGTGTTGGACTAGGGTTTTAATGATTTTAGTGATGTAAATGCAGATTGGTTTATTAGTAAGGTGTTTTTCTACCACCATCACAAACAATCCATCTCTGAGTTTATACAACAACTAGCCTACTGTATGCACAGGCCACATGGTCTTACAACACACTATAAAATTATTATAAAATAATATAAAATTATACAGAAGTATTAGCAGCTAAGAAGTACAAGAACATTTCTGCAAAAAAATATTAAAAGTAGTTGTTTGGTTTTGCAAAAAATTAGTGTCTGTCTCTGTCACATTATTAATACTGATGAATCAATCTGTAAGGGCATTTTACATTATAACAAGGCCATAACATTTGTTAAGGTGAAGCTTTGATTACTTTTATATAGAGTTAGGTAAAATAGTTTAGCTTTTGTGAAATATTGGAGAGCTTTACTTTTTCGGGACTGAAACCATGTGAAAAGCTCAGATTGGATGTTTATTCATTTTCTACCACTTAGTCCCGGGGGGGGGGGGGGGGAGACGAACAACGACACACACACACACTCCTATAGGCAATTTAGAGACACCAATCAACCTAAGCTGCATGCTGCATGTCTTTGGACTGTGGGAGGAAGCCGGAGTACCCGGAGAGAACCCACGCAGCACGGGGAGAACATGCAAACTCCACACAGAAAGGTCCCAGGTGGGAACCTTCTCGTTGTGAGACAACGGTGCTAACCACTGCGCCACCATGCTGCTCAGATTGGATGTGTCTTTGGTAAAACTGTTAACACCTCATAGACATCTGATTAGACAGACATGTAGACGTTTTGTAAGAGGTCACAAGCCAAATATATTGGGAACCATTTGTTTAATCCTTAACAGTGTGTTGTTTTTTATAAGCCTATCCTATGATTTTATGTAAAATTCTAATCTGTATACCAACTGTTTATCTGGATAAATGTAGTGGAATAAAAAATAACATTTTTAATATGTTGTGGAGTAGACGTATAAAATAGTATAGTGGAAATATTAAATTAAAGTACCTTAAAATAGGTCATTACAGTACCTGAATAAATGCACTTAGTTATATTCCACCACACATACAGTCACATATATATTTTCAAATGATACTGCAAGGAGCTCAAAAACTCCATATCACATCTTAGGACATCAGGTCGGCAACAAAAGTCAGAAATCACTGCTACAACGTACTGTATATTTGTATTATAACCTACTGGAGAAAATGCAAGATATCCTGTTCTACTTACCTTTTTTCCAGATTTGTGGAGCAATACCACTGGATGCACAGATGAATTATAAGACAGTGGACCCCTGGGAACAAATGTGTAATTTCCGTCTCTTTAGCACAGATCTCCATGCTATCTGTGCAAGTCACAGCAGATCTTCTGCAGTTCCTAGGCTTGTGACTATTAAGCCTGGTCAGTGGTACAGTCTTGACTAAAAGTAGTTTTTTTGGCCCTCAGTCATTATGTAGCACAAAGATGGAACCAGCTTCCAGAGTAAAAATAAAATCTGTGGACAGTGTAACAACTTTTAAATCTAAACTGAAAACTACTGTTTTACATGCATTTGAATGATTGTTTTGCTGCTTATATTTCTTAACTTCATTTTCTTCTTGTTCTGTATGTAAAGCATCTTGAGCTGCTGGAAATTAGTGCTATACAAATAATGTGTATTTGTATAGCACTAATTTAATTAATCTGAGAGCTGAAATGAGGTAGAATGACAGCATGCTGCACTGGAAATAACCATCTGAGGGCAGTGTTTGTCTATACTTGTCCCTCTCCAAATTAGAATGACCACTGCCAGTGCACATACAGTACACTATAATCCATTACATTGCGCTCATGACTCTGATTTGTTCATGTAGATTTGTGTTATTCATTCTTCAGAACCAAGAGAATGACCAATTAGAGTTAATTTCAGGCTGACATATGGTTACAGTCTATAGTAAATGGTTTTATACTTGTATAGTGCTTCTCTATACATTACAGCACACTCAAAGCCCTTTGACACTATTTGGCCATTCACCCAGTTACACTCCCACTGTCATCATCCTGAAGTGCTCAAGGACACTTCACCATGTGGACTAAAAGAGCTGGGAATCGAACCGCTAATCTTGCAGTTAGGAGATGATCAGCTCTAACTACCCAAAGCAGCACCACTGTGCTACAATGCCCACAGCTAAGAAACTGTTCTTGACTTCTGTGTATTTTATAAGAACACACTTACAAGAACACTGCTCTTCATCTCCTTTCTGAGAACACTCTTCCAAGAACACTGCTCTTCATCTCCTTTCTGAGAACACTCTTCTATTGTTTGAGATAAGGCGGCATCTCAATTTGAACCACTGAGCTATACCCCCTCATAAGTATATTGTGTGTGTATTATCTCTGTTCTGTTTGGGAAGCTTTTTCTCTGCATGTTTCAGCAAGTCAATATGAACATCCATGTCCCAGCCTTTAGTCACTATCTGTTTTATTAAATGTTTTGAACTTTTTTTAAAACTCTGCTGGAGAAAGTCACTAGAGAAACATAAATACTTTCATTACATTAAAAACAGACATGATAATGTCTCAACAACTTTTTACTTCTGTCAGTTTACTCAAAGTTAAATCTGTGAGCTGTATCCATTAGAAAATCTTTGTTTAAAATAAGTTTTTTTTTTTTTTTTTTGCAGTAATTACGATAAGTGTTGTCTACTGCATCTTAATACTTCTTCCTGTACTGACAGCATTTAATACAGGTTTGTCCTTAAATAATCCTTAATATGACCCCTAAGACTGATATGTTACATACAGGAAGAGCGCAGGAATTGTCTGACATGCAGACCTTTCTTCATCATGGTTTTAAAAACATTTTCATTTTGAATAGAAAAAGGAATTTTAACCTTGTCAAAATTAAATGCTCCAAGGTAAATAAGCTGACAGTATGGCTAAATAATTAAATTTGATTAAATAACAACCCAACTGAACTCATGAAGTTACAATGAATTTACCAGTGGCGGGCCGTCAGGGCCAGCAAGGCCTTCTCTGCTGGCCTAAACACTATCAGAAGCACTGATCTACATTTACAACCTAAATTCTAATATATGTTCCATGAAATTGTATTAATTTATTCCCAACATCCTATTCTCTTCATTTCGTAGTATTTCTCTTGGCTGCACTGCTTCCAGTAGGTGTATGTGAATGTTAGATTTTTTTGTCCAATCAGATTTCAGCCTCTATGTGTTGCCATGTCAATCTAATCTGCCCAGGGCCTTCAGAATCAGAAGTGTTGGCCGATGTAACTTAAACTATGTTAGCAATGGGACTGTTTCTTTAATCAATCAGATTTCAAATTCGCCTCACAGGGCCAGCTAGCTGGCCTACAATGACGTCAGCATTTTTCTGTCCTCTGATTGGTTGGTCAGAGCAAAACTAGAAAAGAACTTACTGATGGAACTGAAACGCAGAGATCACCTCTATGAGGATGGATTTTGTCTATAAATAAATAGCATCTCTGGTGATTATGATGTATTTAATGTACGTGGCACAGTTGCGGTTGTAGTGTAGAAATTTGGAGTTGTCTTAACTGGGTTTCTTGCTTTAGTAGAAATGGTATTCACCATCAATACGTGATATATCTCTCTCTCTGGAATGCCACACATTATTATATTGTGTTTTTGTATAGTATTAATGGTTTTTATAATTGCGACGTACAGTGGTGATATTAAAAGATAAATTAAGTCGGGTAAGTCTCCACTGAAGGCCCAAGTACCAAGTGCATGGTCCACCACTGGAATTTAGAGAGTTTCTTTACTGCACATTATTATGAAAGGATAAAGTGAATAGTAAATTTGTGATATTTGTTTCTCCAACTACAGAAGACAAGTTAACAGAACTTTCTCACTTTGTAATGAATCACAGATTAAGATTCAAATTGATTAGGACCCACTCACTTTTGTTTTGTTGTTGATGTAACCGACAAGCCTGATTTGTTGGCACAGGTAGATTTTTTTTCCTTGAAATGCTGATAAGTAGTATATGTTTCTAAGTTCCTTATAACTGTTATTTATGTCACCTCACTGTTTTTTAATAAACAGTGAGGTGATGAAATCACCATGGCTTAACATAGGTATAATGACTATGGTATGTAATGACTTTATGTTAATGAACTCTCAGTGGTGAAATAGCAATGTTTGCTCTAGTTAGGTCAAAGTAAAATAGCGTCTGACCTTTAAACCAATACATTAGTCAGTATTAATCATTTCTGGCAGCCTGTTTCTATGTGTCAGCCCTGTGACAAACTGGCAACCTGCCCAAGGTGTAGCCCACCTTCCACCCACTGTCAGCTATGAGTGTCTCCCCAACCCTCTGCTCCCCTGTGACCCTCTATAAGTGGCATACATAGATCATGGATGGATGGGTATTTATGAGGATGCACTGTACAGATGATGTAAACTGCTGCTGTAGTAATTCTGGAAAGAGCACCAACTCCCTCCTACATGTAGGTTGAAGGTACAGTATTTACTGCACAGGCACAGCTTCTTTTAATAGTTTATAGAACATAGAAACCATAAGTACCACCTGCAAGCTTCATACATGTGCAAGGTATGTTTATAGAAATAAAACATACAGAGTCAGCAATTAGGTACTGTGGTACCTAATTTTCTCAGTATGAGTGAGTGTGTCATCCCTCTATTGCTTCTCTTATGAGTGTATCTTATGGGAAAATGTGTTTGGGTGGCTATAGATTTCTGTCGGACCTTCTTCATGATGTTGTTATGTTTCTAAACTCCCAGCCTTAGGTCCATTGGTTTCTGTTAAAGAGCAGACAATCATCTGACCTGGAACAAGCCAGATCTGGATCCCACACCCCTGAAATTGTGACCAGCACCAATTTTTTGACAGAC